ATGCTGCGTCCAGCGAAGACGCCTCAATTGTGGGAAGAGCGCTTGCTCCTTGACCCATGAGGGGAGCAAACAGTCGTCTGCTTTCGATCTGATGGTCGGCTTCCTGGGTCCATGGATGGCGCGCACTCTCCATGCGTACTGCAGTGCACGGGTAGTCCGCTCTGGGAGCCATGCGGCCTGCATAAACTGCGGCGGTGCGGCATGTGAGCGGGCTTCGCATAGTTGAGAAACGACAGGTCTACCTGGCTCGGGAGGGTCTCCATATCCCCTGCTTGAGAATCCTTCAACAAGATTGGGGCAGCCCGGAGGAGTGCGAACACTTGAGACGGATCGTCCAGGTTTATCCAGAGCAACGCGACGGCAGGGTGGAAGAATGCTCGACAGACTCGAGCACAACGCGCAAGGATGCACCTATTGGCGGCGGCAGCTTGTCGAGCAAACCACGCTCGCGAATGGCCAGTCGAGGCGTCATAGTCATACCAGGAGTCTTCAGAATCTGCGAAGTGCTCGAAGACGGTGTAGAGAACGTCATAACACGATAATGCACGGTGAGGAGGCATTGCGGGTGGGTATGGATGGTGGGAGCGCGTGTGCAGCGACGATGGGATCTGGAGCATCTTGAGTATATAGAGGGATAGCGTGATGCGCGGGACCGTGGCTCACCCAGTGCCTGAATAGGAGGGAGTGATCGAGGTGCGGGGGACGGGAAGCCACGCCAAATGCTGGGTGACATTATTATCTCATTTCCCATACCATGCCCGCCTTGGGGTAGGGTCTTCCGAGGCGGCCTGCGCGAACATGTCCCATGCCCGAAGAGTCTTGTTCGGGGACGATAATCACGCTCCCAACAAGGTCCGAGCCGCGCGAAAGTGTGACATGGCGTCCGTCCGTAGGTGGCAATAGCAGGTTTGATGCGCTGCGGCGACGTAAACGAGCGCGTACGCCAGCCAATCCCGGCAGCAGGCCGAACTATATCCACCCGTCATAGCGCAGAAGGCCGTGTCCACGAGTGCGGGATGACAATTGAACGAGGGGCCACACTCCCTTTCACGCGCCGGCGCTGGAGGCTTGGCGAGCGAGGCGGTGGCGCAGGCCTTCAGGGCCAGTTGGCATTTTGAATGCCCAGCTGACGGGGGGCGGCGAGACTGTCGAGCTCGCGGATGGGAACAAGACCCAGAAGCCGAGGGAGTCTCCTGATCCAGATAGGCCAACTCTGAGAGCGTCCCAGGCCTTCGGTCAGGGCTCTCCTCAGAATCCAGATATCGGGCGACAAGACCTTCCGCCGGATGAGGCGGAGACATTGGCTGAAATATTCCAATACCTCCGATGACGGCGGTGGGGGGAGTCGGGTAGAACCTGAAGCAGAGTCGTGTTCAATACCCTCGACTGCGAATGTGATAAGCGCCGTCAGTGCTGCAGCCGCCACTTGAGGCCTGAGGATGGGCACGGCGCGCAACATCGCTTGCCGCGTATGAGGCGAGCTGGAGCCCCCTTCACATTCCATTGACCGAGCCGGCACAGACAATTGTCAGAAACGAATCAGAGGGCACTGGCAAGCGACTGCGGGACAAGGGCAAGCTCGAAACATACGGACATCCGACTCAGTGCGATCTCAGGCTCAAGGGCGGGCGCTACAGTGTCGGCTCTACCGGTCCGCGCGCGCACTGGCACCAAAGTTCAGTCTGAGGGCGCCCTTTCAATCCCCCGACTGTACTGCTCCCGCTATGGCTTCATTGGAGAGAAGAAAGACAGTTGTTAGCGCAGGTCTGCTTCCGCACAGCTCAGGCCCGGACAAGACAGAGGCGATCGCGTCCTCGCATCCCTTCACGCAGCAGGAAGGTATCCTCCGGTCCCTAGGTTGTCTGTGCCGTGCGTCCCTAACTGAGGATGCGGTGTTCTTCAGGTGGATGTCGTGTTTCCAGCATGCCCAGAACTTGAGGAAGCACTGTTGAAGCTACAATGCGTCTACCGGAGGTGTGAATGCACGTTGAGCGAGTTCCTAACTTTCGCGATGCCGTACGTAATTGAGACCGCTCCAGAGAGGTACGTCCCTTGGCCTGGCATCTGCATCACGCTCTCAATCGACTCCTCTGTAGTAAAGTAGTTGCCGTTGGGTTACCGCGAGGGACAAGCGAGGACGTATGGTGCCTCGATTCGAGGGGCTTCCTGACGTTGATGGTAGGGAAGGAGACATACGAGTGTCTAGGGCTCGTGGGCGAAACCCTGCCCTGGAAGGAACGCTCAGATGCCCACGGTGCGTGCAGTCCATCCGTACACCAATCGTACTGGGATCCTTCGAGTCTGATCAGCAACCCTCCACCAGTTCTTCATGTCTCCTTGCGACGCTCTCGTCCTTCATCGGAGAGCATGAAGAAATGGCTAGCATATGGCTCTAAAGAGGCGGGAGCGGTACGTCGATGGGACACCAAGACGGGTCCCTGGAAGATTCTCTATCACTGCGATAGTGCAGGTGTGCCAGTAGTTTCTGCTCCACTACCAGCATGGTCCACTCACGGTGGCTAGCAGTAGATGAGATGCCCTTTGGTAGCACGCTCCATCAGCTAAGTAGGACGGCCGCACGGAGGGAGAACGTGTATATGCCGCATCCTCAGCGCAATATCATCGTGTCTCAGTGTGGTCAGCACGGAGACGCGGCTGAGGATTGGGAAGAGAGTGTGTCCTCGCTCTTTGAGTGGATCGGCCTGGCTTGCCTGGGCTCTCCGAGGTGAGTAATTCCTCCCGTTCGCTAGGCCACAGCAAGAGAGAGACTGAATAGCATACAGGCTCTCAGCGAACGACCGATGTGACCCGTACGTCGCAGTATACACGCCTCCTGAACTGTCCCGCGTCGGGAATATCAGCACGATACGTTGGAGCGGTTTCATCCCCTCTGCTTTCACCCGAATGGTTCTTGATAGCATCTCGTAAGTCCTCTGGTACTCTGCTTCTATGACACAACTTCTTGACAGCCCTTGCAGATCGCCCAACCTTCCTTCGCCAAGCTTCGTGGCGGTGACGGGCCAGTCTGTGGGAACGTCCCCGGTGACGTACCTGCCGGGTGAACCCAGCAAGCCTCCGCCGCTACGCGCTCCTAGGGCCGATGCGGAAGATACGTGGTCTCTCGTCTATGCGAGGGACACTGGCGAGGCGTGGTGGGTCCTGGCGGAGAGCGTAGGGCAATGGGACAAGAGGTGGGGCTGAGCTCGACTTGTGAACAGCACTGTATAGCGCGTCATTTCGCGGAAGCACAACCTTTCAGGATGCTGCATATCTCCATATATAAGTGCTCCCGCTCAAGGAAGAGACACAGCCACTCCTTGAAGCTGGTAACTTCCGTAAGCTGACAGAGAGAAGACGTGAAGCTTGAGCGTTACGACGCGTGCGTGAATCACGTGGGGCGCGTCTCGGGAGATCGACGCGCGGATCTGACTCGGATCTGAGGACTTTGCTCCTGCACTCCGTCTGCGCGACATGGACAGATCGCCCTTTTCCTCCTCCCGACCGTCTCGGAGGCCTTCGTCTACCTCTTGGCTCGAGCACTCATGCGCTTTCTGCTCAGTCAAGGCATATTTGGATCGTTTCGCAAGGATCCCATCCTGAGCTTCTGCAAGACCATGTCGACTTCGCTTCCACCCTCGTCGATCCCGCTATTCGATACCGTCGCGTCGTACCGCGCATGGAGGCGCAAGGCGTATGATGAGAAGAAGTCTGTGGGATATGTTGCTACGATGGGGGCATTGCACGATGGTCATCTCTCTTTAGGTATGCCAAGTAGTCTCCTGACGCCGCTCGCCCTCCTAATCATGCTCCTGTAGTCAAGCGATCTCTCGCGGAGAACGATCTCACAGTCGTGTCGATCTTCGTCAATCCTGCACAGTTTGCGCCTCATGAGGACCTCGCGACGTACCCGCGCACCCTGCCGCGCGACCTCGACCTTCTCTGCCAGCAATCTGTTATCGTAAAAGGAGGCACTCGGACACCCTCCGCTGTCTTTGTACCAACCGTCAGCGAGATGTACCCGAGCGGCATCTCGCAGAACACGCAAGAGCAAAAGGGCACCTTCGTCGAGGTGAAGGGCTATTCGCACCAGATGGAGGGCAGGACACGCCCTACGTTCTTCCGCGGCGTCGCGACCGTCGTCACCAAGCTGTTCAATGTGATCGAGGTGAGCAGCGCTCCTTTCATTGCATTCGCTCGTGAGCGCTTCTGACAGACCACTCTGTAGCCTACGCGCACTTACTTCGGACAGAAGGACATTCAGCAGGCCCTCCTGCTGCGCCGCATGACGCGTGACCTGCTGCTCTCGCATCCCGAGCCCCAAAACCTATTCATCCTACCCACGACCCGGTAGGTCCATATATTGCCTGAGGTGCATCCCTGCCTAACAAAAGTCAGTGACCCCGCGACTTCCCTGGCCCTCTCCTCTCGAAATGCATACCTCACTCCTTACGAGCGCGACAACGTAGCGCCAGTACTCTACGCTGCACTTCAAGCTGCTCAGTCCGCCTGGGATACCAACGCGTCCAAAACCGAGTGTATTCAGCGCGCTGTGGCGGTCATCGAGGACAAGAGGCGCGAGGTCGGCGACTCGGTCGATCTCCAGCTCGACTACATCGAGATGAACGACCCGGAATCGTTCGAGGTGATGCCGGATGCGGTGTCGAGGCAGGAGTGGGAAGTGGACGCTGCTGGACGGCCGGTGATCCTGAGCGGGGCTATGTGGGTGGGGAAGACGAGGCTGATTGACAACATTGTATTAGGTGCTCAGCATACTCTGGGCATTGTCGATTAGCACATCCTCACCTAGTCCGTGAGCTCCATCCTTAGGCCTGGGACAATAATGGCGCTGAAATATGCCCTTACGCCGCGTGTTCAAAAGCAGGTGCGCTGCGCTTTGGAGTTGCAGTAGGAGTTGCAATGTTGTTACTTCGACTTGCGACTTTATAAAGGTCGTTCGCCCACCCCGTGGTCCTGGCTTGACAGGGCAAAAATAATATTATCGACACCAGTAGGGTTCGAACCTACGCTCCCAGAGGGAAACAGATCATGAACAAGTTCTAATCTGTCGCCTTAACCACTTGGCTATAGTGTCTTGTCATGTGACCTCGCACGGCTCATTCATATAGGGCGCTTATCATACAGTACAGTACGTCATTAATATTCATTGCAACAGACAGCGCTGGCCCATTTCCCGACGAACACGCTTGCACCTGGACCCTATACTACACTCGGGCGCGGCCTATACTATCTTGCATTCTAACTAGCTCTACAACCTACGGGGTACTTGGAGGCGCACATCTCCGACTTTTGACTGGTTTGGACTACCGGACGGTAATCACCGACCTGCAAGAATCTGGCCAGTGGAGACGCCTCGGTGGCCGCAAGATGACTCCGGAGGAACCAGCAGCAGTCTCACGAGCTGCTCTTGACCTCACCTACGTGCTATGTTAGTTTGCAATACCTCGCTCGTGCTTGTTGCGTACCCAATGTTTGGATTGACAGTAGGGATGGCCAGACAATGACTCTTCCGTGCTCTCGCACGTGCTGGCTCTGCTCACGCTAACACCAATCCTACTCAACGTAAGTTCCACACTTTCCCTGTGCTATCAAGTCGCGATTGATGAGGCCTGCGTAGCCCGCGTACGCTGCTTTGTCAGTATGGACGCGCGAGCTGCTGTTCTTCGAGATGTGGGCTGGGCAGATGCTCTGCGAATGCTTCAACTACTTGCTAAAGCACCTCATACGAGAAGAACGCCCGAATAGTGAGTTGATTGCCCTCTCTTTCCAATAATATACATCTGAGATGCGGGTTGTCTCCAGAGGAGCTGGGGGATGGCTACGGCTTCCCGTCATCGCACAGCCAGTGGATGGGATATTTCGCTAGCTTTCTGCTATTGCACTTCACCCTCCGCCACCGATTCGTCACGACCGGATACCCGATACTCGACATCGCCCGAGACGTTGCCTTGTACACGTTCATTCTAACATGGGCAGGCGCAGTAGCATTTTCACGGTACGCTTCTGGGGTTTTCCTCCTCTTCGCTCTGTATGACGCTCATCGTCTATCCGCTGCAGCTACTACCTCCTGTACCATAGCATCCCCCAGGTCCTCTGGGGCTTCGGGATCGGCGTCGCATTCGGCACGGCGTACTATATGCTCGTCGAGTACATCCCAATCCGCAAACCTCAGTCGCTGATGGGGAGACTCCGCACCACGCTGCTTGCGAACCCGTTGTCGACTTGGTTCCGCCTGCGAGACGGATGGTCCGTGTGGGCAGACAGTGGAATGGAGGCGCAGTGGCTGCGGTGGAGGGAGGAGTGGGACAGGCGGCGGTTAGGTGCGAAGAAGCTGGAGGCCAAGGGGCAGTGAACGCCACTGAACCCTGCGCGGCATTTTTTGAGGTCGAGCGCGCAACGTACGGACCCTGGATACAACATACGCCCTCATCCGGGCTTTTGGATCCTTGGATCCGGGGCGCTCATGTCGAACGTCTATCTCCATTTAGAGAAGCAACCTCATCATAATGTAGTCGCCGAGGCCAGTCAATCTGCTGTACCTATGATCGTACAAGGAGTCAGCTATCCACGAGTCGGGAGTATGTACTGAAGTCGTTAATGTGGCGGACCTCCAGCTACGTACGTAGACGCAGGCATGCCAAGAACGCACTACAGCGTATCAGCAGTTCGCCGGCGGCCTTTGATATGTTCAGTGCTGAGGCATGACGATGTCTTGGTAAAAGAAATGCCCCAGTCCGGTAGATTTTTTTTCGCTAAGCGTACCCCGCGGGGTTAAATATCAGAACAGTCGAGACGAGGGACGATCGACATCGATCCTGCGAATGGGCGATCGTCCGTTCGTCGGCGCTTGACGTTTGCACCTTGCTCTTACCCCGCGTCTTACCCATGTCAGTCGACGAGGATGTCAATGAGCCTCATCTTGTGGCAGCAACCAGCAAAGCTAGGCAACTTCACCATGTGTCGTGTGCGCGTTTCTGAGGCTGCGACGGCTCCCATGGACATTGACCGTGCCGGCATAGCGTAGTGCGGGCGGGGAGAATGCGAGAACATTGTGCCTGTGTAAGCCCTGTGGACTGATGTCAATCATTCGTCCCGACAAAAATGGGCGAACCCATGACCTCCGCTCTGCGACGCTGGCGCCGACCGCGGTCTGTGGCCCGGCAACGCTGCTTATCCGGCACGTCCCCCGCTCTTCGCCAGTCCAGCAGCGCTTCCTATAAATTCTGACGCACCCTACTCCGAATGGCGAGCGACTCTCTCTTCCGAGCCTCTTCCAACTCCCTCTGAGCCCCGCCGCCTCGACGCTTGTCCGCCCACCGTCGTAGCCGCTGCTCTCGAGTACCGTCATGTCTTCAGCAGACCCAGAAAAGGCGCAGCCCACCACAGAGACGCGTCCCGCACGCTCACCAGTCGCGTCGACGTACTCGTCCGACGAGAAGGGGCGCGCGTCCCAGGTCGAACGCGTCGATGGCGTCCTTGAGCCCCCGCTCTACAACGCGCATGTCGACATCAGCGGGGTCGACGAGCGCAAGCTGATGCGCAAGATCGACTTCTACCTCGTCCCTTGGCTATCCTTCCTGTACCTACTCAGTTTCCTAGACCGGACGAGCATTGGGAACGCGAAGGTGCGTCGTCCTCGGCGTTTCGCTTGGCGTTTGGGCATTCAATTCTTACCGGGACCGCAGCTGTATCATATGACGACCGACCTACACCTGACCGACAAGGAGTACCTCCTTGCACTCACGATATTCTTCTTCTCCTACGCAGTATTTGAGGTGAGCATCCCGACCTCCTATGCTGTTCTTGCCCACAGCTGGTGACCACCTCGGGTCCGCAGGTCCCGTCCAATATTTTCCTCAAGCGCCTACGTCCCTCCGTATGGCTCTCGCTCCTCATGCTCCTCTGGGGCGTCATGATGGTGCGTAAAGTCACGCCACTATATTGCATCCGCTCGTACTGACATTCGATACCTCAGACTATGCAAGGTTTAGTGCACAATTACGGCGAGCTCCTCGGTACGCTATCTGTTCTCCGCCCTTGCAGTTCCGCGAACAGGCCGAGGTTGACCTTCTCGTGTCTAAATTCAGGCATGCGCTGGTTGCTCGGAATGTTCGAAGCAGGCCTGTTCCCAGGCGTGAACTACTATCTCTCCTGGTGCGTATATCTTCTCGGTTCTCGCACTCCGCGAGCCATTCCCGGGGTTCTCGCGGGCTAATCATAGCTTGCGGACTTCATATTCGTAGCTGGTACAAACGCTCTGAGTTCGGCATTCGTGCCGCGCTGTTCTTCTCGGCAGCGACGGTATCTGGCGCATTCGGTGGACTGCTCGCGGTACGTTGCCTCCCACGCACAATTTTTCTTCGAAGCCGAATCTGAGCAAGGGTTTCCCATCTTCACGTGCATATCCTCACTTCTGTTGCTTTTGGTCGGCAAATTCTCGTACGTTCTCGGAATCGCGGCGCACGCATGAACAGGCGGCGATATCGAAGATGGACGGCATCGGGGGCAAGCCCGCCTGGGCGTGGATCTTCATCCTCGAGGGGCTAGTCACCGTCGTCGCGGGCGTGGCCTCGTTCTGGATCATCCAGGACTTCCCGGACACGGCCAAGTTCTTGAGCGAGGCGGAGCGTACGGTCGTCGTGCGCCGGCTGCAGTCGGACGACCAGTTCAGCGCGGCGGGCGAGACCCTTAGGTGGCACTACATCTGGCGCAGCTTGCTCGACTGGAAGACGTGGGTCGGCAGTGAGTGTCGGTGTTTCGCCGTTGAGATGTGACGTGCCTGACGAGGACACCCTCAGTGTTGCTGTACATGGGTGCGGACGGACCGTTGTATGCGTTCTCGCTCTTCCTGCCTAGCATTATTAACCAGTTGGGTGAGTACGGAGTTATTCTGGGGCGTTTCTCCGACGCTGACTTCGCGCAGGATACACTGCCACTCCTGCGAATCTGCTCACCGTACCGGTGTACGCGGTCGCTTGCATAGTAACCTGCGTGGTCGGCTTCGTCGCGGACCGACACGGCTGCCGTGGATATCTTACCATGTGCGTTCTCATTCAATCTGGCGGATCTACGAAAGCTGTCGTGAGACCAACCGACCTGCTTCCAGGCTCTGCCTCTCGGTCGGACTGGTGGGCTATATCATCCTCGTCGTATCGCGAAACGCCGCTCTGTCGTACGTCGCGGTGTACCTGGCGGCGTGCGGCATCTATCCGACCATCCCGAACATCATCGCTTGGGTGTCGAACAACGTCGAGGGCTCGTACAAGCGCAGCGTCTCGCTCGCGATGGTGATCAGCTTCGGCAACATCAACGGCGCGGTGTCGTCCAACGTTGTGCGTACCAGATCAACGCCTTGTACGACGCACTGAACCACTCACCCTCATTTCGCAATGTCTAGTATCGCGCAAGGGATGCGCCGTGGTACACGCTCGGGCACGCTATCGTGCTGATGTACATCGGCATCGGGCTGGTGATGTCGATCGTCTACTGGCTCTTGCTGAGGCGCGAGAACGCGCGGCGCGATCGCGGCGAGCGCGACGAGGTCATCAAGGGCCTGAACGAGCACCGGACAGAACTCGCGCGCAACGGCGTATACGCGAGCGTCACCGAGGCCAAGCAGGACAAGGGCGACGAGTGGAGCGGGTACCGCTACACGCTATAGTGGGGGTGGACACGACTGCTACGATCACGACGATGAAATTGAATGTGTATATCTTAAGATACGTCTGTATAACAGTGTAGTGTACGGCGAATTTACTGCGTATACCCGACGGACTGCGAGAGAATGTGAACGTCATGGCCCTTGTCCGCTGTTATTACCAGAGCTATGAGGATTCAGGGCTGCTCGGTCTCAGTAGATATATTCAGATTGGAGTGATATGGGGAAACTTCACAGCACAGCAGAACGTCGTGCTACCAATATATTCCTTCTCCACTCCCCCCCGCGCATGCCGCTTTCACGGTCATCAGTATCTGGCTCCCTGCATACAAGGATATGTTTACCACTGCCGCCGAACAAGCTACTGGATCCAAGCTCGCTGTCTTCGCACATCCTACCCAATGGCACGCGATTAC